TGATCATATCCTCCTTGGATTCCATCTGCGTGTGTCACGACGTGAGGGTGAATGAGGGAAGGGGACGGGAGATGAAGGTGAGGATACAGCAAGTCGCACTGCTGCTCCGTCTGTGTGGTCATGGTGAATAGACGTAGGGACGGGGAGGGGAGGGGAAAAAGGGACACAAGGAAGTGACCAAGTTGACTCAGGAGGTAGAGAGGAGTGATGTCAAGGAAGTGGGTACAGAAGGTGAGGAGGTGCTCCTCGCCTCAATACTGCATCCTTTCACTCTCTCACCTTATCCTTCATGGAGAAGATATGCGCTTTAAAAGTGTTTTTTGCCTCATCAAATGCTGCTTCATCCTCACCCTCTGCCACACCTACCTTCCATCTCTCCTTAACTCTTATCGTATCCTCGCACATCTCCTCCTCGCATCTCACCTTATCCTTCATGGAGTAGATATACGCCTCCAGGGTGTTCTTCGCCTCTGCAACAGCGCGCTTCTCCTCATCCCTCTTCTTCAGCTTGTCCAATCGGATCTCGGCATCTGTCATCTCCTCGTCCATCATCATACGCTGGAACCCCTCGGTTAAGTCAGCCACCTGCAGAGGCACTCGGATCGTCCTCTTCCTTAGCTTCTTCCTCATCTGCACTTTGGGCGCTTCTGCCTCCTTCTCGCCCTCCTTCTCCCCCTTCTTCGCCCCGTCTTTCCCCGCCTCCTCTCCGCCCTTCTCGCCCTCTCCCTTCTCTCCTTTCTCTCCTGCGCTCTCGCTCCCAGAGTCACTGCTGCCGTCTCCTGCTGAAGAATCCTTTTCCGGTGCAGCTGCCTCCGACCCATCATCACCAGCACCACCCGCAGCACCGTCACGAGTAGCGTTGGCAGCAGTGGCATTCGCAGTGGCGTTGGCAGTGGCGTTGGCAGTGGAATTGGCAGCGGATGGGGGCGGGATGACCGGCACCTCAATCCACTCAGAGAAGTCAACAACGAGCTCTGCCTTCTCCAGCCCCACTGTGCCGCTGCGGGTGAGGTGGAAGTGCAGACTCGCCCTAATCGGGTGTGTCAGGTTGTACCCCGAATACCTGGAAGGAAAAGGGGGGGGTGAGGGGGCGCGGGGGAGGGATTATCGGCACCTCAATCCATTCAGAGAAGTCAACGACGAGCTCTGCCTTCTCCAGCCCCACTGTGCCGCTGCGGGTGAGGTGGAAGTGCAGACTCGCCCTGATGGGATGCGTCAGGTCATACCCCGAGTACCTGGAGGAAGGGGGAAAGGAATGGCGAGGCACAGAAGGGCAGAGCAGAGCAGAGACGAGCAGACAGAATGAAGGCATGGGGCAATTGTCAGCAGAGAAAGACCCCCATTTGGGATAAAGACAGGCAGCCGATGGGGAAGGGATGTTGGGCACATGGATCCACCTGGAGGCAGGCCGCACCCTTGGACTGGCATCGGGCAGGCCGCACCCTTGGACTGGCATCGGGCAGGCCGCACCCTTGGACTGGCATCGGGCAGGCCGCACCCTTGGACTGGCATCGGGCAGGCCCTGTGTCTCATGGTAGAGGACGACAACCCAAACTCGTTCTACTCACATACGGAACTCTTTCAGACTCTTTGGACCCTATCTCACCATGTCACTCACTTGGCAGTGCGCTTGGCCACGCCAGACACGTGCAGAGTGGAGATGGGGGCGCCCTTTGGCCAACGTGGGGAGAGGCCCTGTGCCTCATCGTACAGGAACAAGAGAGCCATATAAATCTCTCTGTACCCTATCCCACCATGTCACTCACTTGGCAGTGCGCTTGGCCACGCCAGACACGTGCAGAGTGGAGATAGGGGCACTCTTGGGCCAACGGGGATGCAGGCCTTGTGGCCCATGCCACAGGGGATATAGCCCGTCACATCCACTTACGGTAACCCTTTTCTCTCTCTCAACTCGACCCTCTCCTACCACAGCACTCACTTGGCAATGCCATTGGCCACGCCAGATACGTGTAGAGTCGAGATGGGGGCACCCTTGGGCCAGCGGGGAGGCAAGCCCTGTGCCTCGTCGTACAGGAACGAGAGAGTGAAGTCACTCGCTTGCTCCTTCAGTGACCGGATGATCTGCAAGGCAATGGAGGAATAGGAGTGCAGCAGGTTTGATTAGCCCCTCTACTGCAAATCAAAGCACCCTTGGGCCAGCGTGGGGGGAGGCCCTGTGCCTCATCGTACAGGAACGAGAGGACCGGGTGATCTGCAGGGCAATGGAGGGACGGGAGTGCAGCAGGTTTGATTAGCCCCTGTTCTGCAACATGGAATCCATAGCATAAGACTCTCCTACTGCATTTTCTGAGGTACCCACACCTGATCATCATAACACTCTGCCACAGATCGCCCACAACCTGAGGAAGAAGGAAATAATAAATTGGAGTTCATGACAGTGTACCTTGATGGGCATTTTCTTCAGCCGGGGAAACAGCATCTCCTCCACCACAGCCCCCTCTGATGCATCCGCTGCCCCTCCATCCCCACCATCCCCGCCATCACTCCCAGCAACCCCATCCACAGGCAAAGGCTTCACCCGGTACTTGACAGCAAACGGCAGCCCGTCGATCATGCCGATCCGACGGTTGAGCTTGAATCCGTCACTCAGGTTGGCTGCCAGCAGGGACGCGCCCAGAGCAAGCGCCTCGTCAGCATCCAGGTGGCGGTCCAGCGAGCGATTACCACCCAATGCCTCCGTCAGCACGGACTGCATCCAATTAAATCAAATGAGTGCGAAGAGGATGAGGTTAACACGTGAGCGACAGGTACAAGGAAGAGGGGCACAAATGTGATGAGGACAGAGTTGGACTAAGGAGTTGATACGGGCACAAATGTGAGGTGATACGAGTTCTTCATAGGAGTCATACAAGACCAAAAAATTGGTGGCCGGTTGAGCCACACTGCCTACCTGCACTTTGGGCACGCGTGTAGCACCCCCAACGAGTTCCACAGCGTAAACATCGTCCATGGTGATGTTGGCGTCTGCTATCGCCCCTTGCAGCGGCGCCACCACTTGCGGCCACACGTCCGCACACAGCTCCTCAAATTTCTCCCGGGTGATGGATGACCTGCCGTGTGCCAATCATGTAATGCACGCAACACACAATACATCAGCTACCGCCACTTGCAGTGATAGCCACCGCTTGAGCCCACACAGCTCCTCAAACTTCTCCCAGGTGATGGATGACATGCCGTGTGCCATGCATGCAATGCAAGCATTGAGGTGTATTTTGAGGCGCCTCAAAATACACCCCGAACTTCTCCCAGGTGATGGATGACATGCCGTGTGCCATGCATGCAATGCAAGCATTCATGAATCGACTATCAAAGCCCCCTTAGGCCTCAGCCTCATACCTGAAGTCATGGTCATCGTAGAGAGATTCCACGGAGATGGGGGCCTCGGAGTTGGCGCTGAGGATATCCTTGCCTTGAAATTTGATTCAAACAATTCATGAATCGTCAGTAAAAAGCCTGTTCAAGCCTCGGCGTCGCACCTGAAGTCATGGTCATCGTAGAGGGACTCCACGGAGATGGGGGCCTCGGAGTTGGCGCTGAGGATCTCCTTGGTGCGCTTCACCTGCTTCTTCAGCTTCGCCATGGCCTTGGGCGACGTGCGGATGTCCACGCCACTGTGCTTCGCATTGAACTCGTCCGCGAAGTGCTCCAGCATCCGCGCCTCCAGCGTCTGCCCCCCCAGATCCGCATTCCATCTCACGGACTTCAGCTGCGCAGGTAACAATTGACGCGTGCAAGAAGAAAGAGGTAAACGGCTTATAATCACGCCAGGGTTCACTGGGACTGTGTTCAGTGGTCAAGAAAGTGCTGTGTAGGCCAATGAAGGCGGATGAGCAGAAGGATTCTGCTTGCGAATCAGAAAGACACCATGGTGCGTTCGACTGACCTGAAACTGGTTAACAGTGATACTCTTCCCACGCTCCTTCGTCACGTAAGCCGAGTAATAAATCACGGCCGCATAGGTCGACGTGGCACCCATGTCGAAAATCACCACGTGTCTGCTGCCATTGCTGAAGTCCTTATCCATGCCGTACTGCAGCGCAATCCCGGCATGCTCCTGAATCAACGCCATCACATTCACGCCAACCAGAGCGCCAGCGTCAATAATCGACTGCCTCTGGCTCTGGGAGAAGTACGCGGGAACGCTAATGACAGCGTCCACAATCCCCGTTCTTCCGTGAGCATCCGCTAGTCCCTTGGCGTAACCCAGCTGCATCGCGAGCAGCTCTTCAGCGGAGTACTCCGTAGAGCGGTCGTGGGTTCGAATCCGCACGGGACGCTTCCGCTTAAATTTCTTCGCCTTGTCCTTGCCTGACGAACGCTCCGAAGCCGCGTCGCCGTCCGTATCTGATGTCACTTTGCTAATGACTTCCGACTCCATTGAGTCGTCCTCCGTTTCTTCCTCCGGCCTCCCATCCCCTCCGACGACATCGTACGGAAGATAGTTGCTTTTTAGTAGCTCCTTAACCTCATCTACTGGAAGGCCGACCATGTCCCTCGCTCGTGTGTACACGCGATCGGGGTACCTGGCGGCGATTCCAACGGCTTCCTCTGACAGGAGCCTATCGCCGTTGGATATCGCCACGACAGACGGAGATTTCCGCTTCGACATTTCGTTGATCGCGATCGAGATCGGACTCTGACCGGGTCGCGGATTTACCACAGCGACCTTCATGGATTCCGAACCCAGGTCAACGGTGAACACCGCTCCGCTCACGAACGGAACCAGTGCTAAAAGTGTGAGAGTTACCCCCAGTACCAGACGCCATTTTATTTGCTCGGAATTAATGCGACGCGCACCCATGGTCGGCTTTCTGGCTTCAAGGTACCAGCCGACTCTGCACAACTCCGAATTGCGTGCGATCAGGCGTTCCGATCAGGAAAGAATTGACAACCTGGGTGTAGTATGCAACTCAGGCAAAACCTGGGTCTTTGGAAAGCTGAGGAGGACGTGGGAAAATGGCCAACTTGACCCAGCAAAGATGAGAGCGAAATCACTGAGCGGATTCACCCAGCGGCATGTGAAAAATGTTGGGAGGGAGATCTCAAGAGAGCGAAGAGGTTTCGCGAACGCCACGTTGATTCGACGAACTGAAATTCCCTGCGGTGGACAGCAGAAGCCAGCGAAAAAGAAGGTTCTGAACCAATCATATCACCGGAAAGACGTGGCCCTTTCGCAAAAGCACTTTTCTTGACAGACCAGGAAATTTGGATCTCATTGTGCATAACATGGTTTTCCCTCGCATTGCTGTGGATAAAATACGTTTTTTTATTACTTGCCATCAAGCACAAGCAGTCATGGCTTCTGCTCGTGTGCCAGAGGCGGTGGCCAACGAATGCCTGGCGCTTATATTCCAAATGCAGGTAATATCTTGGGTTATGCCTCGTGTTCTTAGTAGTAGAGGCTTGCATGAAGTCTGACGTCGATTTCTCAGATAAAAACGAGGAGTGGAAACCCGATATCGCAATGTACAAGGTGGTGTGCTGCCTCTTTGTTCATCAAGCTCGCAAGACGTTTGGATACAATCGAGGCTGAATGCGCAGACAGTCCTGAAAGGTACTAACACATGGTGAGTTAAGAAGGTCTATAACTGACGTAATCACGTTTCCGACGACCAGGATCTTGAATGCGTCAACAGTCCTCCAGCCCGACCGGTCAGACTGTTTGTTTCTGACATTGGTCTTGCTGTGGGTCGGAAGCAAGGTAGGACGCCTCATGCTGATAATAGCGATTTTCTTTTTCATAGAAGTCTAACGCGCTGGTAGTGCAGATGTTTGAAACTCAGCAAATCTCCTTGACGGAGCTGAAGGCTTGTTCATCCCGAATCATCAGCGACAAAGTTTACACGGCAAAGGACTTTGTGAAGGCTGTAAGTTGCGACAAACGTACGGTTTCACCTGGCATTCCTGCAGTGTTTCTTATCGCTCTATTACTGCTTTCAGGAAATTGAGCTGCTGGGGGTAAGGATTTCCTAATGCTAGTTCCTAGCAACACGAGTTCCCTGACGAGACATAACTATATTGAGCAGACGATAAACTTTGAGATTGACACAGGAAGGTCATGCCCCTCAGTCCTGGAGGACCTGCTGAGAGAACTCAGGTTAGTTATCGGGTTTCCCACTCTAGGTTCGCTAAATGCTGCTTTCAACGGTGCACCAATTCCTGTTTCAGGCGAGTTTCTCGAGTTGGTGACTTCATCAAACTAAGTACGTGCTTCACACTTTACACCTTCTTGCACTCTGATTCTGTTTTACGGCAACATTTGTCTAGAGCAGCACTACCTGCCTCCATCATTGTGAGTATTGCAACCAGTCTGATGTCATGACTCATGGACAGCTTGAATAGAAGAAATAGACATGCCCTTCCTGTAATATCTTCAGGTTGTTGCCTACCTGATTTCGGTACCTAAAAAGCAAGCATTGTTCCCAGTGCCGCAATGAACAATCAGGACCAGGATGAGATTCAAGGCTTAACAAGACTTATTCTGCAAAACATTCTTGAATAGGTGCTGTAATCAACTGGATGATTACAAGAGACAGCAGGGGCCTAAATGCAACCAACCAGCATCCCCTTCTTCCAGATAGTATTTTTTCTTCTGTACCGTTCTGGAAGATGCGATGACCACCACCAGGTCCTTTGTCCATTAATCTCATATGCAGCATTACCCATCACTAGTCTTCATCCATCCCAATGCAGACCTCAGGGAGATTACGATAGTCATCTTCCAAGGGCTTTGTGACAACCAATGGTTCTGCATCAACAAAAACAGTCACAACAAACACCAGTCATTTGTGCAATCATGGGGACTCGAAAGGAGTGATGCACACATGAGGACTTACTCATTGCGGCATCTGATGAGAAGGGGAACATTGCGGCATCAGGCTGCCCTCGAGACCGGATAGAACTTTGAAGCTCTCGGAGAATCTCTGGTGACATCTGCATAGAATGCGAAGCCAGTGAACAATAGAGAATTATAACTTTGAGCAGAAAGTGAAGCATATGAAGCACAAAATCACAGTGGCTTGCATGAACACTTACCAAGTGATGATGCTGACGGCTGGTGATAAGAAACTTGATATCAGCCTTTTGTTGTTGGGTCAGCTCATTCTTGTACCTGAGATTATTGAACCAGGAAACATAAATCAGCACAAAATGGGAACACATGGTGACAACAACCAAAATCTCGGCAAAAGAAATCAAAGCAACCAAATAAGCCCGTTGAATACTTTGAACAGGAAATACCTTTGGATGAGGGACAGCAGGCACTGGTGCCAGATAACTGGCAGCTCACGGGTCTCAGAGCGAAAGTGCAGGAAGTGTCCAACCACTGCATCAATGACTCGATATGGCAGGGCATACTTCTTGTCCAGCAGAAGCTTCATGAAATAACTGCTCAAGCAGGAGAAAATGTATAACACATGCCATAACTGGGGATTATTGGAATTTATTGTCGAACCATAGTTCAGGCTTTTCAGCTGCTGATTGCAAGCTCTCACTCTGACAGTCCCAGCAAGCACCTCACAGCATCAGTCATGCCAATGTTCATCAACCATTGCTCAATGATCACAATTCGTTACGGTCCGTCTCAAGAGCCTCTCCACAACAACTTGCTCCCACTGCTCATCGCAAATGGTGCTCAGTGCTCACCTGTTTGTGCCGGCATACTGCATCTCTGCAATCTTCATCAGGGCAACACTGCAAAATGCGAGAACAAGAAAGGTGGGTTGATTCAATCAAGCCGCATACTTTAGCCTCATGCCAGAGACTGTCATGATCCGTGCTAACATGAGAATCAGAATCAAAAATAAAAATAAGAATCACAGCATACCTTGAGTGTAGCACTGGAATCGAGACCTTCTGAATCACGCTCCCTATGATCACCGCCTCACGGAGCGTGCAAGTCTGGGACTGGCACAGCGGCAGCAACACCCCTTTATAAAACGCGGCAGGCTTGTAAACCGCCTTCTTAAGCGACTGATACAGTGCAAAGTGCAGCTTCTTATTAAGCCTAATGTCCCGACGCACTCTCGGCAACAGCACCAGCCGGTAAAACCTCTGGGCGGCGCGAGCGTTGAGATTCGACGCAAAAAGACGAGTGGCGGCAAAGACAGCAGCAGGCGTCCAACTGTCAGGGTCTGTAAGGAAGAGCACGTCCTCCCAGTTGCTCAGTGCTGGCACGATCTTAAATGCCTTTGGGACCTTGCCGGACCGATAGCGACTCAGCAGCTTGCCCACTCTGCCGGAAAGGGGGAGGGGAAGGATAACGGTTCAACCCAGCAGCAAAGACAGCAGCAGGAGCCCAACTGTCAGGGTCTGTAAGGAAGAGCACGTCCTCCCAGTTGCAGGGAAGGGGTTGGCAAGGAGGGAAGGATAATTGTTCAACCCAGCAGCAAGGACAGCAGGAGTCCAGCTGTCAGGGTCTGTAAGGAAGAGCACGTCCTCCCAGTTGCTCAAAGCTGGCACGATCTTGAATGCCTTTGGGACCTTGCCGGACCGATACCGACTCAGAAGCTTGCGCACTCTGCAGGGGAGGGGTTGGCAAGGAGGGGAAGAATAACGGTTCAATCCAACCCATCAGCAAAGACAGCAGCAGGAGTCCAGCTGTCAGGGTCTGTAAGAAAGAGCACGTCCTCCCAGTTGCTCAGAGCTGGCACGATCTTGAATGCCTTTGGGACCTTGCCGGACCGGTACCGACTCAGAAGCTTGCCCACACTGCATGGGTGACGGGTGATAAACATGGGGGGAGGGGGACAGGGTAGCGGATAGGAGTGAGACAACTCAAACCATGTTCGCTCACGTTCAGTACACCTCCATAACTTAGTCATTCAAGGAGGAGGAGGGGAAGGAAGAAAAGGGGAGGCGAATGAAGGGGAGGCGAGGGCAGAGCTTCAAGACTCACTCACTCTCACTCACCCTCGATACACCTCCATCACTTTCTCATCCACTCCCGGAATCCGCCTCTCCGCTTCTTCTCCCCCCTCCCCCCCTCTCACACCCCCCCCGCCGCCCGCGCCCCCAGCTGCCCCCGCCGCCCCTCCAGCTGTCGCCTCCTGGATTTTCGCCATGATGACGTCAGCCAGCGTGCGCTGACGTGGCGCCGCGCCTCCCCCTGCGAGAAAGACCGCGATGGCCCGCTCGTCCTCCTCCGTCACCTCGTCCGCCTGCCACGGAGCCACGAGGACACGTGGCAAAATGAGGTGCCAAATCACAACAAGGCGTCGAGATTGTGCAAGGCAGCGCACGCACGAAAATGTGGGGTAGGGGAAGAGGGGGAGGTGGGGGAAGTAGGGGCGGGGGGGGGAAGGGAAGGAGGGAGTGGGGATGACGAGACGGGGAACAGATGGAGAGGGAGGAGACCGGACGGGGGAAAGAATGGGTGGAAGGGGGGAAGCCTGGCAGCTGAAGAAAGCGAGGGGAGGTGGGGGATTAAGGTTCCGAACAGGGTACGAGTTTTAAAGTTCTGAACATAGATTCGCCCCACAAACTCACCACAGCATCGTTATACATGCTCGCCGTTTCTGAAAACGCGCCATACTCCCCATCCTCATCCTCCTCCTCCGCTTCTCCCTCCTCCCTCTCCTCCCCCTCCTCTATATCCTCCCGCCCTCGTCTCGCGTCGCTTAGGATTTTCTCCACGTCCGCAGCCGCCGCTGCCGCCGCTTCTGGATCCCGCACTTCCCGCTCCTCCCCCTCCTCCCCAGCCTCCTCCTCCCGCTCCTCCTGTTCGCGCTCCCGCGCCGCCACGGCCGCGGCGAGATCGAACGCCTCGCGCGCCCCGTCCAGGCCGCGCTCTTTCTCCCTGCAGATCGCGACAAAACAGGCGATGCAGAGGGCGTGCGTTCGGGTGTTGCGACGAAACATGCGATGGAGAGGATTGGACCTCGTGCGAGTGGCGTAATGTAATGTAATGCAAGAGTTCAGGTGTAGGTCCAGGTGTTTTTTCAAATGGGGCTTCCAGGGTTCGGGATTCAGAATAAGACGATGTTGGGATTTAGGGTAACGGTTCAAGTATCAAAGTTCAGGGTTAAGAATTGAGTTGCACAGATTCTATTTTTTGCGGAAAATCACAAAATGGTGAGTAGGGGGAAACTCACATCTCCCGCGCGACTTCCTGCTGCTGCTTGCGCGCCTCCTTGAGGATCCGCGCGCTCATCCCCGCGCCGATCACGCCCTCCTCGTCCCCCTCCCCCTCCCCCTGCCGCCGCCGCTGCTTCGGCGCGCGCCGCCGCTTGGCGGCTTGCTCGAGGAGGAACTCGTCGTCCATCTCCTGCTCTAGCGTCGTCGCGTGCGCCGCGCCGCCGCCGCCGCCACCGCCGCCGCCGTGCTTTGTGGAGACCTTCATGCCCTTGGCCTTCAGGTGCAGGCGCTGCTGCTGCTGCGCCGCCACGCGACCCCGCTTCTTCCCCTTCATCGCTGCAAATCACGCTATTGGTGGCCGATCTCTCACGAAATCAAAATTTTGTCCACTAACGAGGAGCTATGATTCGAAGTAAAAGACGCGCGGAAGGCGGTGTGAAACGGCGAAAGTGCAGGCGAAACTGACGTAGTTTTCCTGTTATTGGAAGGGAGACGGGAGCCAATGGCGGAAGTAGTTTTCCTGGTATCAAGAATCCTCAACCACAGGGTTTGAAGGGAGGTTTGTGGGTGCGGGGTTCTTTGATTTTTGAGTTCTGTGCGTAAGCGAAAGCGAAAGTCCCAATAACAAAGCGAAGCCTGTCAGACAATTGCGACAAAACTTTCCTGGTAACGGTTCTCGCCACTGTAACGTTTTCGCGAGAGCAATCAGGCAGATGTTCCCAGGCTGCCTCCACGTGGCTCAGCCTGGCCATCCCACGAAACCTCAAATTACCGCCACGCTGGCGCGGGGCTCTCCCCTCTTTCCCCGCTTCCCCCCGCTCCCCTCATCCAATTTACCCTGCAGCACTGAACAAAAACGCAATTCAACCGCGTCGAACCGATCAAAGCCCTACTAAACCAGCTCAAAGGGTTGCTGCCCTCATTCCCTCATCCAAGACTCACATCCTTCTTTCTCCTCATCAGCCGCTCTTCTCGGCAACTATTTCAGTTCTAGCCATTTCCTTCCACCTAACATCACTGCCCACCACAATGTTTGCGCTCGCCTCTTCCCGCGCCGTCGCGTGCGCGCCCGCCGCCGTCGCGCGGGCGTCGCTACAAGCAGCTCGTCCCGCCGGCCGCGTTTCGTTCGCGGCTGTTCGGACGGCCGCTCCCAGCGCGCTGCGATCAGACCTCGTCTCTGCTCGCTCCGCCGTCTCCTCCCTCTCGTGCTCGCTCGCAGGTAATTAGTTCATGATGCGTTCAAGTCTGCGGGAGACGGTTGTAATAATGGACATGCATACGGTTAATATTCACAGACATGATGGTCAAGGTTAGATGCGAGATGCGTAGATAACCCGATTCACGAATGAAGCACGCTAAGCACCTATGCTCGCTTTTGCGAGGGCTCGCGAATGCGGGTTACTAATGCACAAAGTCGCGAAGTCTTCGGGGGTTCGTGGTTTTGTGAGTCATTATAGGAGGCATTCTCCACATCATCAGCTCCACTTCGCTCCAATCTGATCATTGGAACATTCTCTTAATCGGAGATTGTTCCGGTTCCCCCATCACTTTGAAGATTTAATTTTATAGGAGATAATGGCTGCAGGCACAGCTCCTTTTCCTTTTAAAACCCAGTTTCCCCTCTCGCTTCCTCCCTGTACACCTCCCCACACTCTTCCCCACACTCCTCCCCACACTCCTCCCCACACTCTTCCTCACACGCTTCCCCATGCGCTTAACCACGCGCTTCGCCACACACCTCCCCACATCCTACCTTACCTTCACCCCCTTCAGGCCTTCGTCTCTCCACACATTCGCAAGTGCCTGGTGCCCTCTGCGGAATAGACCATTCAGGAGGCACCAGCATTGGTGGCATCAAGCACCATGTCTCGCGCACGCATCACCCCCTCCCTTGAACCTCCACGCATTTCCGAGCGCCGAGTGCTCTCTGTGGGCTGGTTCGTGCAGGAAGCACCAGCATTGGTGGCATCAAGCACCATGTCTCACGCACGCATCACTCCCTTCAACTCCCGCTCCCATCCTCCACGCATTGATCGCCCCTTTCCTCCCCCTCTCCGCTCTCCGCTCTCTTCTCCCCCCCCCACTGCCCTGCAGGTCTGCGCCTCTCCCCACAGCGCCTGGTGTTCCCCGTGTCAAGGGGCTCTTGGCTGGTGGTGCAGGCAGGAGGCACCAGCATCGGCTGCACCAAGCGTGTGGAAAGAAACGAGAACAAAAGAATCCTGTAACTCTCTCATCCTTTCTCACTGGATAAGCATTTCTTCCCCCCCCAATTCTCCCTCGACTTCTGGCCTGCAGGTCTGCGCCTCTCCCCAGAGAGCTCTAGTTGCCTGGTGTTCCCAGTGTCAAGGGGGTCTCGGCTGGTGGTGCGGGCAGGAGGCTCCAGCATTGGCTGCACAACGTAGCATGTCCCACACAAGCACATCCCTTGTGTCACATATTATTATCTAACCCTTCTCCCCGCTCCTGTCCTTCCTTCCTTCCCTTTTTCCCCCCCTCCCTGTATCCCCCCTCCCTTCTCCCCCCTGCAGGTCTGCGCCTCTCCCCAGAGAGCTCTGGGCGCATGGTGTTCCCCGTGTCAAGGGGATCTCGGCTGGTGGTGCGGGCAGGAGGCACCAGCATTGGCTGCACCAAGCGCCACGCCTCCCGCAAAAAGCGCGCCCGGGTGTCTGGTTACCGCGCGCGCATCGCCACCAAGGACGGGCTCAATGTGCTGAAGCGCCGCCGTGCTCGTGGCCGCAAGGTGCTTGTTTCCCAGGCGTCGTCACGCACAGGGAAGCGTGCTTAGGGGGGTTGATTTAGTCGCACACCACCTTGGAGGGTCTTGACTGGCAACAGCAATCGGTTTATATGTGTAATGTCTATTCAGAAGTATTGAAGCTTCGTAATTCACAGAAGAACGAAGAATGGGTTATCTGGTCGTCAAAAGTGTAGTTTTATCATCAATGTTTCCTGAAGCTGTTGATGTGAAGTGTAGCATATACACTTTAGGAAGTGGGTGAAACCCAGTTCTGCACATGAGATTATTGATGGTTCCCCATCAACGGCCTCGATCAGTTCAACCTGGCAAGCACTTCCGCTCGCGGTACAGATTCTCCCTCAACTGCCATCTCTTGGTAACCTCAAGACAGAATGCGGCACGAGTGCACCAATCAAGATGGAACTGGGGAGTTCTTGCAGGCTCTATCCGACAAAAAGGATTACGGGGCGCATCTTGTCGCATGTTCTTACAGCACGAATTCTGCCATCGCAGGACTCCCGCTGGACTCATTAGCGAAGTCGGGGGCAGAGCTCACTGCAAAATGCACGCGTTAAAGCCCGCGTCCCAAATTGCGGGCCGCGAGGGTCAAGTTTTTAAAACTTGACGAAGTTGAGTGTCCAAGCTTTTGAAAGTCACGCACTTGCAATTTGGGACTTTCGAAGACAGATTCACTCACCAGGGGGAAAACCGAGGGTTGGCTGGGTCTCGCGAAAAAAACGAACCTAGACGAAATCGGAAACTCTCGCCAAAGCCCACACCAGAAAAACTCCCTCTGGTCAACTTTTAAAAGCATGAACAATTTGGGCCGCCGGCTGTCTGTCGCATCGTGAATAGCAGTCTGTCGCATCGCATTTCGGCAGATGTGCTCTGGCATTCTCCATGTGCATCCGCGATGCGAAAGCAGGATTCGCGACTCGACGATGTGCACTGCTGCTTGGTCGGTTCTGGCTCCTTCTGGCCCGTCTTTTCCTCCAGCATGACAGCTTCCCCCCCACTGCACCCAGCCCAGTGAAGTCCAGTCCAAACCTGACCACTCATTTCTCCCGCCCGCCCCTCTTTCTCTCTCTCAAATGAAACATCTATGCTATCAAGAGCCCCTCGTGCGGGATATGCGGCAGCTCTGTTGATGCACCATGCATCAGTTTCCCCTCGCCGGCCTTGCATCACCCTGCCCTCCTGCACTTGCGAATTTGGTGAATTCGCATCTGCTACATATCACTCCACTATGTCATTGTGAGCAAAAGCAGCGTGAGCTAGTATTATCTCGAAACTCCAGTCACTTGCATCCATCCCTCAAAAGCTCCGCACTTAGCGCTTCTCGCGCGAATCCGCTTACCATTTTCCTTAGGCAGGCATCTGAACATCCTTCTACCTTAAGAGCACCGGTGGTATTGTAAGCTAGGCATTCGTTAAAAATGCAAGACGAACAAAGGTCGATATTGAGCTGACTTAATAAATTTCGCACGACGAACACAAGTCGCGCCAAGATCAATGGCGAGCCGAAGACCGCCCGCATCGATCCATGGCGTAACCAGAACGAAATCAGAATCCAGGGCCGACGTATGTCGACTCTCAGCCCAGCCTCTACTCTTGTTCTTCCTTCTCCTCGTCTCAATCCCTTTCGCCTCTCCCTCGAGCGATCCAAACGACGGAATTGATCCGTGCACGACACTCGCGAATAAACTAGAGGCGAGCGTGGCAGCGTTGGCGAAACAAAACATCATCGTCGACGGATCCGTCGGTTTCGCCACACCTACGGAAGCGAGAAACTGCCTACGAAACTTCCGCTTCCGGGCAGACCGCGACATCCCCGCTTTAGACACAATCATCAACGCACTCGACAACCATTACGTCTACAAGCACCTCGCGGTAAAATCACCCGATCCGAAGCTTCCGAGCGACGTCGACATCATAACGTATCTAAAATCGATTCGCGAAAAGGCGGAGCAAGGCGAGGGGATTAACAGTCTCCTGCGCTTCCACTCGCTTATCTTCCGCGCGATCGACTCGTTGAACGACGGCCATACGTCCATGACGAGCAATTGCTTCTATGGCGTCGGGCTCTACACGCTCCCGCTGCCGCTCGTGTCGGTGGTTGAATACGGAGAGCAGATCATCCGAGTTGGCAGCCAGGAATGTAAGTAGATCGGTCTTGTGCGGTTGGGTTTGGTGTAATTTGGTAAAATTATGGCAAGCAATTGATTTCATGGCGTCGGGCTCTACTCTCCCCCGCTGTCGCTCGTCTCCGTGGTGGAAGACGGCGAGCAATTTATCCGAGTCGGAAGCATGGAATGTAAGAAGATATGTTATTGTTCGGTTCGGTTCATTGCGGTTCGGTTTCTTCGTGGTTCGGTATGGTTTCCCATTTGCATCCAGCATAGATCATTTGTCAAACGCTTTCGTACGTTTTGCCCCTCACCTCTCTTCCCCGCTTTCCCCCTGTGCTTTCCCCGCGCCTCCTTCCCCCAGTGCTCCGCGGGCGCCCGGACCTGATCGCGCGCGGGCTGTTCGGGTTCAACTTCTCCCGCTACGAGGGCAAGCGCGTTGTGACTATAGAGGGCGAGCCGGCGCTCCCGTTTATCGCGCGGTGGGCGGACAAGTACGTGGGGACGTTCCGCAGCGCGGGCGCGCGCCTGAACGCGGCGCTGGCGCACCGCACGGTGAAGGGGCTGGGGGAGATTGACGGGAGTCAAGGCGCATTCACGGTGCGCTCCATTCCGCCACGGAAAGACGCGCTCACGATGCTGATCCACGTGAAGTGAGTGATTTGGACTTCACCCTTTTGGAAGGTGTAGATTCGGGATTCACCCTTGTAGCGAATCTTGTGAGGGTAGCGCTAGGACACACCGCACAGTAACGGGGATGATGACCGCGTGAGTGCAGGGAGCAATGGGAAAGAAAGAGGTTGCGGATTTAAAAAAATAACAGCTTCTGAACCTTGGCTTGTCAAATGTATACCGTCGTTTTAAAGCCCCCACCTCCCCCTTTCCCCCGAACTCTCCCCTTCCTTCCGCTTGCTTCAGCCCTGCTTCCGCTCCCGAGCGGGTGGTGGTTCCGTGGATCGCGGATTTCCCGCGAGGCGCGTTCAGCGACAGCCGCAGCTACTGGCTCGCCTTTTGCCGGAAAGCGGGGGAGGGGGAAGATGTGGGGGGAAGCACCACGGAAGGTTCCGCCGCTTCTGGCGGTGGTGGCGGTGGCGCTAATGATGTTGATGATATCAGTATTGTTAGTGGGAATGCAAGTGGTGATAATAACGGGGGTGATAGTAACGGGGGTGACAAGCTGGCGAAGGAAAAGGGAGAGCTGGGTATCAGCAAGGCGGGTGGGCTGAGAGGTTTTTCCGTAGCAGTAGGTTCAGGTGGGCCGAAAAAACGAGTTCCTTTAGCGGATGCGACTGTAGTGGGGATGCTGGCGCCAAGGCGGGATCTGGACCCGCCGCCCCTGAGAGTGCGGGAGGTGGGGGTGGTGGGGGAGGAAGGAGGAAAAACGAAAGGACTCAACTCTGTAGCTGATGGTGCTGCCGCTACAGCTGGTGGTGCTGGGAGCTCGACTATGGGTGACGCTGCTGCTGGGGGAGGTGCATCTGGGGCGGGTGCGACTGCTGCCGCCCCTGCCGCCGCCCCAGCCGCCCCGCAGCAGACAGTGCGGCTGTCAGCAGACGGCGATCTGTTCCCCGTGCTGCTGCTGCCGGATGAAACAGCAGTCGTGTGGCTGCACACGTTCAGCACCAAGGGATTGGATATCTCTGCTACCGGCCTCACTCCCTCGCAGTATCTCTACGCGGAGTCAATGCGGGCCCTCAGCCTTGCCACGAGGTGAGCCTGGAACCCTTTCTCCCTCTTCCCTCCTGTTCCCCGTGCTGCTGCTGCCGGACGAGACAGCGGTCGTGTGGCTGCACACGTTCAGCACCAAGAAAATTGATATCTCTGCCACGGGGCTTACTCCTTCGCAGTATCTCTACGCGGAGTCAATGCGGGCTTTAAGCCTTGCCACGAGGTGAGCATGGGACCCCATCCCCCTCTTCCCCCTCTTCCCCCTCTTCCCTTTGTTCCCCGTGCTGCTGCTGCCGGACGAGACAGCACTCGTGTGGCTGCACACGTTCAGCACTAAAGGATTGGACATTTCGGCTACCGGGATTACTCCCGTCACAATATCTCTACGCCAAATCTATGCGGGCTTTAAGCCTTGCCACAAGGTAGGTTTGCGACAAGGTATGCCCGAGGTTTGGCGCTGTTCCCCGTGGTGCTGCTGCTGCCGGATGAGACAGCAGTGGTGTGGCTGCACACGTTCAGCACCAAGGGATTGGATATCTCTGCAACGGGGCTCACTCCCTCGCAGTACCTCTACGCTGGGTCCATGCGCGCCCTCAGCCTTGCTACAAGGTGAGCCTGGGACCATTTCCCCCTGTTCCCCGTGCTGCTGATTCTACTGCTGCTGCCGGATGAGACAGCAGTGGTGTGGCTGCACACGTTCAGCACCAAGGGGCTTGATATCTCTGCTACGGGGCTGACTCCTGACTTTTGAGTCGACTCAAAAGGCACGCGTTCAGCACCAAGGGGCTTGATATCTCTGCTACGGGGCTGACTCCTGACTTTTGAGTCGACTCAAAAGGCACGCGTTCAGCACCAAGGGGCTTGATATCTCTGCTACGGGGCTGACTCCTGACTTTTGAGTCGACTCAAAAGGCACGCGTTCAGCACCAAGGGGCTTGATATCTCTGCTACGGGGCTGACTCCTGACTTTTGAGTCGACTCAAAAGGCACGCGTTCAGCACCAAGGGGCTTGATATCTCTGCTACGGGGCTGACTCCTTCGCAGTACCTCTATGCTGAGTCCATGCGCGCTCTCGGCATTGCTACGAGGTATGTTTATGCCTTGGATATGCCTGAGATCTGGTGCTGCTGGTGCTTCTGGTGCTGCTGGTGCTGCTGGTGCTGCTGGTGCTGCTGGTGCTGCTGGTGCTGCTGCTGTGGGATGAGACTGCAGTGGTGTGGCTGCACACCTTCAGCACTTAGGGATTGCATATGTCTGCCACAGGGCTTACTCCCTCGCGGTACCTCCATGCCGAATCAATGCGGGATTTAAGCCTGGCTACAAGGTAGGTTCACAGCATGGCATGATGGTTTCCTGCTGTGTGTAGTGTAGCGAAGTTCCCTGGTGGGTTTGCCACAAGGTACGCTGGGCTGCTTTCAGAATTCCAAGTCCCATTACACTAACTCCCTCCTGTCACACCGAATTTGCTATCCCCCTTACAGGCGTGGCAAGCGAATTGTGCTGGACGTGCGGGGAAACAGCGGAGGCATTATCCAGACCGCCTATGGAGTGGTGAGGGCGTTGGCAGGGCCTGCTAAGACCCCCCCCGGGCAGCTGCAGATGCCTCAGCAGCTGATGATCGGAAACGAGTACACTGCGCGACTCATTAGAAGCAGCGCCACATTCTTTTATAACGCGTCGAATTATTGCAACGAGGCAGAGACCGCTGGGTTGAAAGGACCCGCGGATTTTGGGCCGTTTCAGGAGATTCAGTACTCGACGGACGGGCAGGCTGGAAAATATTCTGCCCGGGTGAAGCTGACCGAGATGCTGACGCTGTACGACCAATCAGATGATTTCAGCGGGCTGCCCATGGTGGTTGTTTCTGACGGAACCTGCTTCTCTGCCTGTGCGGTTCTAACTCACATCCTAAAACGGAAATTCAACGTCCCCATGGTGACTGTCGGAGGGCTCAAGGACCGGCCAATCGCAGTGAGCTCGTCGTGCCTAGGTGGCACGCTCGGGTCGCTCGACGACGGGATCTCGCTGCCACTTGTCGGCACGCCATTGGCCGACGATCCCAGAGCTACCAAGCCATTCAAAATGCAGATCGACCTGGCGTTTGCGATGCTGCAGGCATACGGGTCTGAGAAAGGCGACAATCAAGGAGTGGGTGGAGGGCAAGAGATTCCGTGCGAGTTTGATTTCTTAGAGGCGGACGCGCACATTGATTTGAGTATGGAAATGGTGGAGCTGCCTAAAGTGCTATGGGCTGCTGCGGCGGCCCTGCTTCAAAAGGGGATGAGATGAGGAGCTGCGATCTAGTGGGTTACCAATTTGCTTTTGGGATGCCTTGAAGGTACCATGGGCTGCTGCTGCTGCTGCTGCCACCCTGATCCCAGAGGGTGAGTTGATAAGTTAAGAGTTACAAAGCTGCCAGCCTGCCAGGCTGCGTAAGTAATAATGGTTGGGCGCTGGTACGGGGTATGAGGTTCGAATTGTACCATATGGACGTTATCACTGGGTCAAAGAAAACATATGCTGTATCCATTACTAACATTGGTTGGTGTGGTATGATTTAACATTGTTAAAACTGGTAATTTTTATTGTCATGACAACAAGCACACCCCAGGAATAATGTGCATACAGTAGGTATGTCAGCTGAAATGATTGGCGTCTAATATGCACAAAATATGAAGAATGTGAGCAGGTTTTAGGTATATCTTTGTTGTACATGAGAGAAATCAGCATCGTTATAACGAGCTCTGTGCTTGAAGTTATCCACGGAACGTCTTGTATTTTCCATTACTGATCAGCACATGACCGACCACTCGCATGATCCCATCCCGTCCCAACGCAGATCGCACGCTGCACTCGCGTGGCACCGACACTGGCTAGCCGCATCAACTCATCTCTTCTGACTCACCACCACACCACCGCAGCCGCGCACTTGTATGACACACGCACCTAGTAGGTCCACCTTCCACATTCTCGATTCGCATTTTGCCTCGCTGGCAATGACGACAACACCGCACAGTGTTTCCATTCGCTAGACCTCCCCTATTGCCAGGAAACGCAGGAAAAATGCAGCAGGATTGCTCTGCTCCTCGAGCCGTACGAGTGTCCTTTCGTTCATTGAATGGGCGACGAAGCGTTGGGAACAGCTTTGAGAGGGTTTCGTTGGGAAACCGGAAACTATCCGGAATTTCAGAGCGTTTACCCGTCAAACGTGGAACCCTGCCCGTGCACAGTATCGTGCGTGGACGTTGACCAGTAGGGCAGTAGTGTTCGCGCGGTAAACGCTAGCCGCGAAACACCAGCACCGTCGCGTGACGTCGCATCCCCACACGAGCTGTGTCAGCGTCAGGTTACCCGTCGTCTGCTCAGACGGAGCCGTTCAAACCATTCATCCTCCTGACTGAAATTGAAGTTTTCCTTTCCCCGGCTTTACGAAAATGCAAGGTTGGGTTACCTGACCCAGCCAGCCCCAAAACCGGGAGGGACCGTTGGCCCTTCGAATATGCCGAGGGACCGTCAAGAGGATTCCTTACAAGACACCCCTTAACAGAAGCTTCTGAAACCAGCTTTTCCTCTCAATCCTGGTTTTCACCCGAGTTAGGGTTTCACTCCAGCTGCCTGGTCTCCTGGTCTGGTTCGCCTTTCTTAGCCATATTTCAACACAGCTGCCATAATTTCTCTGTCTGTACCTCCTGCAGTTCAGCCGATCAGTGTGTGCGTTTGCTAGCGCTTGACGTGAAAATGGATATGAAGAAGCTCGCCATGGAGCATGCCGCTCAGATGTGTCCTTTCCTCCGAAACGTGTCGCTTTCCTCATCCCCCGCTCCGCATTCATCTCCCCTCTCCCACTCCCTCGGGGACCTCTGTGCCGCTTCCGCCACGCTCCCGGGAAAGAAGCCTATCTTTGAGGAAACGTCGTCCTCCTTCGATGTCGCTTTCAGGCTCTTTCACGGCGAAACGGGTGTTGTCCCGCTCGCGAAGACCTGCGACCGCGTCTCCGTTAAGTCAGGCGAAAGCGACGACGGTCAGATCAGCCAGTCGCTTTCCGTAATTCCCGCGCTCAATACTTACGGGATTACCGCCGAGAAGAAGTCATCACAGAGCATTTCAACCGCGAAGGAAACCACTAACGCCTTTTCCCTGATGGGTTACGAGACAGCTGGAGAGCAGGATCAGGAGGTTTGTCCGTACGCTGCGGCGTTCGCAGGCGGTCTGGGTGCGTCAGCAGCGACGATCAGCCTATCGGTGTTCGGCCCATCCGGACCGTTCAGTTATGACTCTTTCCGATCTCGCGGGGAGAGCAGCAAGGAGCAGCAGAGAAGGAAGGAGCAGGAGGAGAAGAGGCGACGCGAGGAGGAAGCTTCAAAGGTGAGCTGTTCTCCTTGACGCTTCGAGTTGTTATCTGTGTTCGCTGCCATGCTAGCATGGACTAAACTCTTGGTCAAAAAGTCAAGTAGTTTCTCCTGATAGGCTGGGTTAAGTGCCTCGACCTTTCGTCGTCAGCATTGCCATCTTTCTCCGTACGCGTTACGGATCTCAAATTTCACGTTGTCGATCCGTAATGCGGAATGACTGTTATAATCTGGTCGATATTCACTCTGCAGTGGAGCTTGAGTTAACCGTGGAATCGCTCATTTCTTTCCCGTGATCGTCATTTTCAGGAGCGAGAGTCTGTACACGAAGCCGAAGGCGAAGAATGGCTCAAGTCGGGTAACTGCCCGATCGCGAAGTCCTACCGAGCGTTTTCGCGAGTGGTGCCACTCATCGCAGCGGCGATCAAGCCCGCGTCCGGATTCCAATACAAATGCCCCGCTCCCATCATCGCCATGCGCGCAGCCGTCGCTAAAACGTCCGCTATGAAAGCCCTCCGGCCGCAGGCCCTCCCGATAAGAACACTCGCTATAGGCACGATCGGCATGATGCTGAACATTCCGCTGGGAGTTTGGCGAGAGCATTGCGAAAAGTTTTCGCCACAGTGGATCATCGCAGTGCACGCGTCCGTTCCGCTGGTCGCCGTGCTGCGAAAGGCCGCGCTCATGCCAAACTACGCCATGGCCTTCACTATAGCGGCTTCCGTTATTGGCCAGGCGATCGGGGCGAGGGTGGAACGGAGACGTCTGAAGAAGCTCAAGGAAGGTTCGGAAGATGCTGAGCTGGCAGATACCCTTTCCAGTAGCAGCATTTCAAGCACCAGCAGCAGCAGCAGCTTCAAGTCTGCTGCAACTCCAAGGCTCCCCCAGCGCTCTGTCATGCTGTCTAAGACTCGCAACGAGTCTCGAGCTGTCCGTGTAGGGGCAGCTGCTGCAGGGGCAGGTTCTTGCAAGGCCGCTGCTGGTAAAGAGGACGTGAGTGCGCTTGTAAGCTCAATGGCTGTTGGCGCTGGTGGAGGAGCCAGTGCTGGCAGCCCGCTGAAGGTTGCTGCTGCTGCGCATTGATGAGTGCTGCTGCTGGCACTGGAACTGATGCGTTTCCCCTGCCGGCAGTGGCACTACCAGCAGCTGCTGTATTGAAGCAATGGAGGAAGGCTTAGGGAAACTAGAATCAGGTAGCAAGCATGACTCTAGCAGAACATTTGTGATCCATCCCAATATTTTGATGTCATGTCTACCTGATCCTAAAACAAATGGCCATGCGATGATTCACGCATTCAGCTTGTGGCAAGGCAATCCTACACACATTCAGCTGCAGCTCATGCAACAATCAACCGTTGATTACTACGTCAAACCTTCACCTGCCAGTAGTTTATATAAACTAGGTTGGGTTGGGACAAGCATGTTTCTATTTACACCACTTGTCTGTACACTAACCTGTACATTATACAGTCATCACTCCTGGGTTTTTTTTCTTCCACCTCCACACACACCACCCATTGGCAACGACACATGAATGGGTGGACACCAGCAGTGCGGCAGAAAGCAGCATGACTAGATACAGCCAAACACTGGGTAACAGAGAGAACAGCAGAACCACCACTAAAAGAATCAGCGGCACAACGATGGCAACGGCGTTCTTGCTTCACCGGCAGTGAAAGCAAGCATAGCAGCAGGGCCAAGCATCACCGGAGGTCTGATGCCTTGTGCGGTGAAGAGAGGTTCTATGAGCTCATGCACGGTGCGGAGTGGTACGGAGATCAGCAGCATCACGACAAAGACTACAGCAATGCCGAATGCCCCGTGGTCACCCTCTCAGCCAGACTGAACGTTTTCTACTCACTTCCATGCCATTCATGAGGGTTTGGAGGGGTCAGCGGCTTCAGGGACTCTATAAGGGAGCATGACTCGATATGGATGGAGCATTCTAAGCGAGTCAGCGTGTACAGTGACGGAGGAAGCTCCTTTAGCTTCTCGCACCACACCAGACTCAGTTTTCCTAGGCAAACCGGCAGGCTGCCTTCCCAAAATCCCTCAGGCAGGTTCTCCAGTGCGGGCAGATCCAGCTGGAGCGTTATCAACGGAGTAAATTACCCAGGCTTTCGGGCAGAGGCCGGAAATTATCAAGATAGAGGAGCTTTAGGGTTTGCAGGTGGGACAAGGGGCCGATGCGGCGTTGGAGCGGGGTCACAGGGGAGGAGGAGGAGAGGGAGAGGGTGGAGAGAGGGAGGGCGCAGATGCTCTCTGGGAGGCTCTCGAGGGAAGGGCAGTCGCGGAGGGAAAGATGCTGCAGCTGAGTCAGCGCTGCCATAAACTTTTCGGGCAGGCATCGCAGTCGCCTGGATTGGAGCGAGAGGGTTTTCAGCCCGGTCAGCTGCTCAAAGGATTCCGGAATGCTCTCGAGCCCATCCAGTTTTATTTCTAGGGTTTCCAGCAAAGCCAAGTAGCCGATTGCTTCAGGAAGCTCCGTGACAGTGTTTGAAGAGAGGTTACTGATGCTCAGCTTTCGGAGGTTACCCAGAAGGCCCACCCACTCATCTAGACCGCGAAAATTCGCACCCGCGCAGATCCGCAACTCCCGAAGCTGCTGCAGCGCGCCGATGCTCGCGGGCGGCGAAACGAGCTCCTGTAACGAGTCTTCGCCATAGTGAGTATGCGAGCACACGTGTAGGTTTTGGAGATCCGTGAGGAGCGAGAGGGACGCCGGGAGATGCGGGATGTCATCGGTGGTCAGCAGGCGGAGTTCCCTGAGGTTGCGGCAACCATGGAAGAGCGAATCGAGGCCGTCTAAAGTAACCACCATGCCAAACTGATGCTCCACCGTTAGATGGAGCAGACGCGGACACGTGGCGGCCAGACAGTGGAAGAGCGCGTCGCCGTTGGCGTATGAGATGGAAAACTCGCCCAGTGACACGTGCGTGAGGGCGGGGAAGCGGCGCAGCGCGCAACGAAGGCGCGGGAGCGAGAGCAATGCGAGTTGCGCTTTTGGAATTTTGTCAAAATAAAGTATCCCCACAGACGAGTTCTTGCTAAAACCCCGGTGCTGAACGGTCAAATGGGAGAGCGCGGCCGTGGCGAGGCGGCACCAGCGCTTGGAAACGAGCACGTGACGGAAGGAGGTCTGCGAGAGCGAGCGGAGGACGAGCGCAAGAACGTCATCAGGGAGGCACTCCAGGGGGAAGGGCGGATCGGGGCGGTCAAAGGATCGGAAGGGAGAGGAAGTAAAGTGTGGACAGCTTTTGCTCTGAGTCGTCCGTTGCCTAGAGTCAGCCTACACAAACACTTGATCGTAGAAGATTTAAACTCAGCTGTGCAAGAACGCGCTCTGAGAAACCTCGCGTTCCAATACAAGAATGGCATCGTGGGAACTCCCTGGAATGTATCCTAGAAATTAGTCCCGTAATCGCTGGTATGCACGTTGTAGGAACCTCGAATTCTCCAACAAGGGGAGTTGGGGGAAATCGGTTCGGTCCCTGTCGGCGCCGGTGTAGTTTGGGTCGGTATTGGAGATCCGAACCGACTCCCTCCCGAGCGTCTCGCGAAGGCCGAACATAGGCGCAAAGGTGTGGCTGACTGGCATGCGACGCTTTCACCCGAACCGAGACAGCCTCGACAATTTCCTGACACCCTGGCATGCATCATGCTTTCTCGAATACATCGAACCGCATCGCGCGCTCTGCATCCTCGTTTCTTACTTGCGTTGGTAGAAATTCACTGTATCAATTGATGATTTCTAAAAAAAATTATCATGTTTCAACACCTGTATGCACAAAAAAATCCCTGATTAGTGCCCCCACCCACCCGCCTATTTTTGGACGGATTGAAGGCTGCACCGAAGGGTGTAGTATATGTGGGTTTAAGGTAAATAGCAATCGTGCCCAGTAGCAACACAAAGCACAAGTCCTCCCTGAGGGAGTCAAACCCTCACAAGGCCGAACTGAAACCTCCTGGGACATCCTTATGGTACTCCTTGGGAAGCTTACTTTACTGGCCTTACTGTCTCTCCACTTGTGATTGAATTGGTGCACAGATACTAGAGATGGCAGCAACCACGGCGATTCTGGCAAGGCCGTAAATATATCGTTTTTATGTAAATGCTTGATATTCAGACTGGTTAGTGATGTGCGAGTGCGACAGGCAAAGTTCAATGCAATTATAGTACCGTACATTTCTCAGCAACTCTGAAAATCTTAGTGAAAAATGAAAAGAAAGCCATGCGCGCAATCACTTGCGGGCTAGTTTCCCTCCACGTGCCCGCTTCAGTGCAGTGACAGCATCTGCTTGCTTCGACCCCACCACTCCCGCCATCCTCCCTGCCCCACCTCCTCCCCCCACTGCTCCCCCACCCCCAGTTCCCCTCCCCCCTCCCCATCCCCCCCCTCTCCCACCACTCCCCCTGCCAGGTGCCTGTGCTCCTCTCCCCCCACCCCTGCCCATTCCCCTGCCTCCTCTCCCTCCCATTCCCCCACCACCCCTCCCCCTCCCTCCTCCCCCACCTCCCCTCTGCTGCTGCCATGCCCCTCCCCTTCCCCCTCCTCCTCTCCCCCCACCGCTCCACCCTCCCCTTCCCCCGCGCCGACCCCCTTGCTCTCCCCCTCGCCCCCCACCTCGCTCTCCCCCTCCCTGCACCGTTCCTGCTCCCCACTGCTTCCCCACTCTAGCTGTTGCCAGGGAAACAAAGGGATTTGCAAGGTGCTGGGAGTTCCCAAGGGTGGCTGCCGCCGCTGACGTGGCAGCAGCGGATGGGGTTGCTCGCAGCTGATTGGCCAGCTCGGTTGTCATGCCGGACTGATGGGTGATTGGAGAGGAGGGGGAGGTGGGGGGAACGACAAGGTTGAAACCAGAAGGCAGAGGAGGAGAGGATAACAGCAGAGAGGAGAGAAGGAGAGGAGGAGAGGAGGAGAGGAGGAGAGGAGGGATTGGTGAAGGGTGGTGGTCCAGTGCATGGTGCAAGGGTTGTTGAAGGGTGATAAGGTTTGTCTAAGGGTGGAAAGGTTTGCTGAAGGGTGGAAAGGTGGCAAGTGATAGTGGAAGCATGCAGCAGAGGTGAGAGACTCACAGTACAGGCATGAAAGTTAAAAAGAGGGAAATAGAGTAAGGAGGAAAGGGAAGGGAAGAATGACTCACAGCAGAGATGAGTGAGCGTAGGTTGGTGGGTCTGAGGGGCTGCGAGACAGCTTGCTTCAGTGCCTGGTAACACACTCAAGGAGGACAGGACATATGGGAGGGATGAGCGAATGGGAGAGGAGAGGGAGATGAGGGGAGTGGCACAGGAGTGGGATGAGTGAGTACAGGTTGGTGCGGCAGAGCGGCCCAGATACTTCTTACTTCAGAGCCTGGCCAGTCATTCACAAGGGAACGGTACATTGGCAGGTGCAGTGCGGTGGGAGGGAGGGAAGGGAGCGGCACACGGAGTGGGATGAGTGAGTACAGATTGGTGGGCAGAGCAGCCTAGAGACTGCTTACTTCAGAACGTGGCACATGGAGGAAAGAGTACGGAGGAAAGGGAAGAATGCGCATGGAATGAACCAAGAGCAGGGGAAGGAGCAGAGGAGCAGAGGCGCAGGCAAAGACATTTATTGACAAAGGAAAGAAGAAGTGATGTTGCTGTAAGGAATGGTGACAAAAGCCGGCCATGGGGTTGGTAGTGCCAGCCCCTGTCAGTCGCTCACCTCTTTCATCCTCTGCAGCTCTATTGTCTCCTGCTTCATCTGCTGCCGCCCATCCTCCCCTGTCTCCCCATTACCTGCCTGCCTCTCCCTAAGGGCACCCACAGAACTTACCCTGCTAGATTCTGGGCAAACTGGTTGAATCCCTACCCACATCCTCCCCTGTCAGTCACTCACCTCTTTCATCCTCTGCAGTTCAATCGTCTCCTGCTTCAATTGCTGCCTTCCATCCTCCCCTGTCTCTCCCGGCCCCTCCCACCCGCGCTTCTCCCCTCTCCCCACCAACCGCCTCACATCCACCCCTCGATCCACATCCCCTTCCTCCTCCTCCTCCCCACCCCGTGCCCCTCCCCGCCTCCTCTTGCTCCTGCGCTCCTCCTCCTCCCGCTGCTGCTGTTTCTTGTTCTTCTTCCCTCGCCCTCCCCTCTCCCCCTCGTCGTCACTCTCCCCTCCTGCCTCGTCGAAATCATCAAAATCCTCCTCCTCACTCTCCTCCTCTCCTCCCCCCTCCTCATCCTCATCCTCCTCCTCCCCTCCTGCCACGTCAGCACCCCTCTCCTCCAGATTCACCTGCACCGCCTTGGATGCGCGCTGCTTCCAGGAGGTTTCCGCTTTCTCCTTGGAGTGCTTGCGGGACAGAGTGTCGACACTTAAAGCCAGGCTGACGCATTGCTTGAGGTTGGGCAGGTAGTTATGGTCGACCGGGAACGTGGGGAGAGCGCCGGACTGCAGAGGGGGGGAGAGGGAGGGATAGGTGGGAGACAGAGGGAGAGGATGAGAAAAGGAATAGAGTGTTGGCGTTGACAGCCCGCCAGGCTGACGCATTGCTTGAGGTTGGGCAGGTAGTTATGATCGACCGGGAACGTGGGGAGAGGACTTATGAGGCGCCTCAAACGTTGACAGCCAGCCAGGCTGACGCATTGCTTGAGGTTGGGGAGGTAGTTATGGTCGACCGGGAACGTGGGGAGAGGGCCGGTCCGCGGAGTGAGGGAGAGAGAGGGAGAGGGATTAGAAAAAGAAGGACCGGGTAAGAGAAGAGAGAGCGTCGACACTTCAAAGCCAGGCTGACGCATTGCTTGAGATTGGGGAGGCAGTTATGGTCAACTGGAAAGGTGGGTAGTGGGCCGGTCTGCAGTGAGAGGGAGGGGGAGGAAGGGGAAAGGCATGGGAAAGCGAGGGAGAGGGTAAGGTAGAAAAGAGAATATCGATACTTGAAGCCAGAGCTTACGAATTGCTCAAGGTTGGAAAGGTAGTTATGGTCCTCGCGCGCGCCTTGGTCCGCGCGCGCGCCTTGGTCCGCGCGCGCGCCTTGGTCCGCGCGCGCGCCATGGTCCACGCTCGCGCCTTGGTCCACGCGCGCGCGACTTGGTCAACGCGCGCGCCTTGGTCAACGCGCGCGCGACTTGGTCCACGCGCGCGACTTGGGCCACGCGCGCGACTTGGTCAAGGCGAGCGACTTGGTCCGCGCGCGCGCCTTGGTCCGCGCGCGCGCCTTGGTCCGCGCGCGCGCCTTGGTCTGCGCGCGCGACTTGGTCCACGCGCGCGACTTGGTCAAGGCGAGCGACTTGGTCCAAGCGCGCGGCGCGCGCGCGCCTTGGTCCACGGAGCACCCCTCTGATGCAGTGCCTCTGGCAGTGCGTGCACAGGAAACTGGGGACGTACCCACACCACACCACATGGCTTGGTGGACCAAGGTCAACTCAGCGCCTCGGGCCGTGCGTGCACAGGAATGGAAACTGGGGACGTACCCACACCACACCACATGGCTCACGACTCTATTCTCTCCCATCACCCTCCAAGTAGGATCCTCACCTTGTTCAGCTTTCTAAGCAGCGACGAGTATCTGATGGAGTCCTTTGGTGTCACCAGAGCCACGGAGCATCCCTCTGAAGCAGCGCAACCAGAGGGAACTCGGGACTTACACTCTTGACAGGCCGAGACAGCGAGATCGACCCTCGTACGCACCTTGTTCAGCGACGAGTACTTGATGGAGTCTTTTGGCGTAACCAGAGCCACGGAGCACCCCTCTGAAGCAGAGCAGCACCTTGGCAAGGCAAATGAGCCCTCACCTTATTTAGTTTCCTCAGCAGCGACGAGTACTTGATGGAGTCTTTTGGCGTAACCAGAGCCACGGAGCACCCCTCTGAAGCAGAGCAGCACCTTGGCAAGGCAAATGAGCCCTCACCTTATTTAGTTTCCTCAGCAGCGACGAGTACTTGATGGAGTCTTTTGGCGTAACCAGAGCCACGGAGCACCCCTCTGAAGCAGAGTAGCACCTTGGCAAGGCAAATGAGCCCTCACCTTATTTAGTTTCCTCAGCAGCGACGAGTACTTGATGGAGTCTTTTGGCGTAACCAGAGCCACGGAGCACCCCTCTGAAGCAGAGCAGCACCTTGGCAAGGCAAATGAGCCCTCACCTTATTTAGTTTCCTCAGCAGCGACGAGTACTTGATGGAGTCTTTTGGCGTAACCAGAGCCACGGAGCACCCCTCTGAAGCAGAGCAGCACCTTGGCAAGGCAAATGAGCCCTCACCTTATTTAGTTTCCTCAGCAGCGACGAGTACTTGATGGAGTCTTTTGGCGTAACCAGAGCCACGGAGCACCCCTCTGAAGCAGAGCAGCACCTTGGCAAGGCAAATGAGCCCTCACCTTATTTAGTTTCCTCAGCAGCGACGAGTACTTGATGGAGTCTTTTGGCGTAACCAGAGCCACGGAGCACCCCTCTGAAGCAGAGCAGCACCTTGGCAAGGCAAATGAGCCCTCACCTTATTTAGTTTCCTCAGCAGCGACGAGTACTTGATGGAGTCTTTTGGCGTAACCAGAGCCACGGAGCACCCCTCTGAAGCAGAGCAGCACCTTGGCAAGGCAAATGAGCCCTCACCTTATTTAGTTTCCTCAGCAGCGACGAGTACTTGATGGAGTCTTTTGGCGTAACCAGAGCCACGGAGCACCCCTCTGAAGCAGAGCAGCACCTTGGCAAGGCAAATGAGCCCTCACCTTATTTAGTTTCCTCAGCAGCGACGAGTACTTGATGGAGTCTTTTGGCGTAACCAGAGCCACGGAGCACCCCTCTGAAGCAGAGCAGCACCTTGGCAAGGCAAATGAGCCCTCACCTTATTTAGTTTCCTCAGCAGCGACGAGTACTTGATGGAGTCTTTTGGCGTAACCAGAGCCACGGAGCACCCCTCTGAAGCAGAGCAGCACCTTGGCAAGGCAAATGAGCCCTCACCTTATTTAGTTTCCTCAGCAGCGACGAGTACTTGATGGAGTCTTTTGGCGTAACCAGAGCCACGGAGCACCCCTCTGAAGCAGAGCAGCACCTTGGCAAGGCAAATGAGCCCTCACCTTATTTAGTTTCCTCAGCAGCGACGAGTACTTGATGGAGTCTTTTGGCGTAACCAGAGCCACGGAGCACCCCTCTGAAGCAATGCGATACATGGTCCACAAACTCTGTGCTTCTGCCAAAGGGAGCCTCACCTTATTCAGTTTCCTCAGCAGCGACGAGTATTTGATGGAGTCCTTGGGCGTCACCAGAGCCACGGAGCATCCCTCTGAAGCAGCCCCTCGGGCCGTGCGGCCGCAGCGATGCACGTACCCCTCCGCCGTGTGGGGTAGCTGGTAGTGCACCACCAGACGCACCTGGAGCAGCAGGCAACGACAAAGCACAGCATGGAAACAACAGTTAAAACAGCCTGGTATCAAGAGTTGCTCGCCTCTCGGCCCTGGCTGGCCGTGCGGCCGCAGCGATGCACGTACCCCTCTGCGGTGTGGGGCAGCTGGTAGTGCACCACCAGACGCACCTGGGGAGCAGGCAAGGGGAGACACAGCACGGAAACAGCAGTCAACTCAGCCTGAGCCTGGTATCAGGGGTTGTTCGCCCCTGGCTGGCAGTGCCGCCACAGCGATGCACATATCCCTCTGCTGTGTGGGGCAGCTGGTAGTGCACCACGAGACGCATCTGGGAGTGGTAAGGGGAGACACAGCAAGGGATCAACAGCGCTTTCAGAAATGTTACCAGGGATCAACGTGAGATGGCTGTTGTGAGTGAGCCTCTGACAGTGCCGCAGCAGCGATGCACATATCCCTCTGCTGTGTTGGGCAGCTGGTAGTGCACCACCAGACGCACCTGGACTGGAGGGGACGAGGATGGGGGGGAAGAAAGAACGGTACTAGCAATGAGCGTAGTGACAACAATGCAGCCATGTCTGGCTGGCTGTGTGGCCGCAGCGGTGCATGTAGCCCTCTGCCATGTGGGGTAACTGGTAGTGCACCACAAGAGCACACCCATCACTGGAACTTACACACTCAGTCACACACACACACACACGCACACACACCCTCACACACACCCTCACACACACCCTCACACACACACACACACACACCCACACACACTCACACACACACACACACACACACACACACACACACCCACACACACTCACACACACACACACACACACACACACACACACACACACACACACACACACTCACCTCGGGAACGTCCAGCCCTCGTGCTGCCACATCTTTTGCAACAAGCACGCCGCTGGGATGCTGCTTGTAACGATCCAGCGCCTTGAGAGGCGCGACAACTTCATGATGCTGGGGACGGTGGAGAATATTTTGAGGCGCCTCAAAATACAACCCTTGAAGTGATCCAGCGCCTTGAGAGGAGACAGCAAGCAACAGCACCTCACCTTCATGATGCTGGGGACGATGGAGAAGCAAGCAACAGCACCTCACCTCGGGAACGTCCAGTCCTCGTGCTGCCACGTCAGTGGCCACCAGCATGCCGCTGGGAAGCTGCTTGAAACGGTCCAACGCCTTGAGACGCTGAGAAGGTGCCTACTCCCTGGGACACTCACACTCACACTCACTCACCTCGGGAACGTCCAGCCCTCTGGCTGCCACGTCTGTCGCCACCAGCACGCCGCTGGGGTGCTGCTTGAAACGATCCAATGCCTTTAGACGCTGCGAATCAAGTCCCTATGATGCTGGCGAACGGGGGTAGGTAAGGGTGGGAAGCAACAACAGCTCACACTCACCTCGGGAACGTCGAGTCCTCTCGCTGCCACGTCTGTCGCCACCAGCACACCGCTGGGGTGCTGCTTAAAGCGGTCCAACGCCTTGAGAGGCTGAGAACGTGCCTACTGTACTAACCGAACACTCTCACCTCGGGAACATCCAGCCCTCGTGCTGCCACGTCTGTCGCCACCAGCACGCCGCTGGGATGCTGCTTGAAGCGATCCAGCGCCTGGCGAGAAGAGAAGCAACAGCACCTCACCTCGGGAACGTCGAGTCCTCTCGCTGCCACGTCTGTTGCCACAAGCACGCCGCTGGGGTGCTGCTTGAAGCGGTCCAACGCCTTGAGACGCTGGCGCTGCTGCTGCTGTGCGTGCAGGGGGAAGGAGGGGACCTGTTGGGAAGAGGGTTAAGAGAATCAAGCAAGGGAACGAGTGAGCCAGCAACACGTGCTTCCTAAGACGGGTTACACGCCTTGAGACGCTGCCGCTGCTGCTGCTGTGCGTGCAGAGGGAAGGAAGGTACCTGTTGGGAGGAGGGTTAAGAGAATCAAGCAAGGGAACGAGTGAGCCAGCAACACGTGCTTCCTAAGACGGGTTACACGCCTTGAGACGCTGCCGCTGCTGCTGCTGTGCGTGCAGAGGGAAGGAGGGGACCTGTTGGGAGGAGGGTTAAGAGAATCAAGCAAGGGAACGAGTGAGCCAGCAACACGTGCTTCCTAAGACGGGTTACACGCCTTGAGACGCTGCCGCTGCTGCTGCTGTGCGTGCAGAGGGAAGGAAGGTACCTGTTGGGAGGAGGGTTAAGAGAATCAAGCAAGGGAACGAGTGAGCCAGCAACACGTGCTTCCTAAGACGGGTTAAACGCCTTGAGACGCTGCCGCTGCTGCGCATTCAGGGGGAAGGAGGGGACCTGTTGGGCCAGCAGGGAAAGGCCAAGAGTGCGTAAGCAGGTACACGGAATGAGAAAATTACTCCGACAACGTCTTTTGATATTTTTCAAAATGGAATGCAAAAGTTGTCTGCAGAAAGAGAAGGAAAGCTTACTTGCAGCGCAGACAGGGAAGAGAACCTTACTTGCAGCAGTGCGAGCAGGGAGGCAAGGCGGCAGACGGAGGAGATGGTGGCGGAACAGAAGACAAGCGTGCGACCAAAGGTGGGAACGGAAGGGCGAGACTTCAGGGAAAGAAGAGAAGGCAATTTGCAGGGGGAGACTTACTTGCAGCAGTGCGAGCAGGGAGGCGAGGCGGCGGACGGAGGAGATGATGGCGGAACAGAAGACAAGCGTGCGACCGAAGGTGTGGAGAGAAGGGCATAGAGGCTCATCGGGAGAGAAGGGAAGGTTGCTTGCAGGGAGAGAAGGGTCACTTACTTGCAGGAGGGACAGCAGGGAGGCGAGGCGGCGAACGGAGGAGATGGCGGAGCAGAAAACAAGCGTGCGACCAAAGGTGCCGTGCATGCGGAGCAGGTAGAGGAGAAACACGTCCCTCATGCTGTCGTCACACCTGGGAGAGAGGGGAGGGAGAGAGGAGCGATAGAATATGGAATGAAGACACAAAGGGGGAGAAGGCGCAAGGAGGTAGAGGCCAAAGGTGCCGTGCATGCGCAGGAGGTAGAGGAGAAACACGTCCCTCATGCTGTCGTCACACCTGCAGGGCGGGCACGAGGGGACACAGGCATATAGGTTACATGGGGAATATAGGGATACAGGTTACATGGATTGCACAAAAGGTGCGGAGCATGCGGAGGAGGTAGAGGAGAAACACGTCCCTCATGCTGTGTACCTGCTGACCTATGTCACTGTTGTAACCAAGACTCCCCCAGTTGACTTTTGAGTCGAATCAAAAGTCAACTATGTCACTGTTGTAACCAAGACTCCCCCACTCACTCTAGAGGAGCTTCTTGCATGCCAATTGCCACGGCATCAGCCGTGGTGAGACAAAACAATGGCAGGGGACGGCCGCATGCCAGTCAGCTGCATAAGAGCCACACTCACCACTCTACACCCATCAAGACCACTCTACGTACCGTACCAGCACCATCCCTTGGAGTGACCTAGGGACCATTCACTCTAGAGCAGCTTCCTGCACGTCACTGGCCACCACATCAGCAGTGGTCGAATCCACAATCGCAGGGGACGGGCGCATGCCAGTCAGCTGCATCAGAGCTGCCACCACCACCACCACCCTACCTGATCATCATCATTGTGCATCTCACCACTTCCTCTCGAGTTGACTTTTGAAACAGTCGCTGCCACGTATGGTAATGGCTCCAGTCTGGGGCTCTATTGAGCCGCCACCACCACCACCCTACCTGATCATCATCATTGTGCATCTCACCACTTCCTCTCTCATCAGCCTCCTGACCTATCACGGCTGTAACCAAGTCTGTCTGTTCACTCACTCTAGAGCAGCTTCTTGAACCCCACTGGCAACTACATCAACAGTGGTGAGCGGTGGACGGCCGCATGCCAGTCAGCTCCATTAGAGCCGCCACCACCCTCCTGATCATGATTTCCGTGCTCACTCGTTTACCTGCTGATCAGGAGCGCCAAGTGCAGCACTAGAGTAACCAAGACTCTCCACTCACTCTAGAGCGGCCTCTTGAACGCCACTGGCCACCACATCAGCAGTGGTCAGATCCACGATGGCAGGGGACGGCTGCATGCCAGTCAGCTCCATCAGTGCCCCCACCACTCTACACCCCTCTAGACCACAGCAAACAAGCACGAATCACTTTACTTTACACTCACTCTAGTGCCGCTTCTTGAACACCGCTGGCCACCACATCAGCCGTGGTGAGATCAACGATGGCAGGGGACGGGCGCACTGCTCTCACTCCCTCTATACATTTACCAGAAGAACCAAACTCACTCTAGAGCAGCCTCCTGCACGCCACTGGCCACCACATCAGTAGTGGTGAGATCCACAATGGCAGGGGACGGCCGCATGCCAGTCAGCTCCATAAGTGCCGCCACCACCCTATCCCTCTCCAACCCCTTCTCCCTCTCCTTCTCCCCCTCATCCTCCTCCCCTCCCTCTCCCCCCTGCGCTCCCTCCCTCTCTCTCTTCCTCCCGGTTCGTCTATCTGCTGCCCCGGGTCCTCCTGGCGTTCGCTTTTTTCCTTGCAGCTGCCCGCGCGTGTCTTCGGGCAGAACGAGGGTTGCGGAGAAGACCAGAACTTGCCGCTTCTTTTTCGCGAGGGTGGGTGGCTGAAGAGTAAACACTTCCTCTCCTCCTCCTTCTTCTCCTGCTTCTCCCTCTTCTCCCACTTCTCCCTCCTCCCCATCCTCCCTACCTTCTTCTCCTTCTTCTCCTCCCCTCTCCGCGTTAATCTCCTCCTCTTTCTCCTCCTTCTCCTCCTCCTCTTCCTCTCCTTTCCCTTCCTTTTCAGCCTTTTCCATCCCCGCTTTCCCCTTTCCTTTTTTTCCTCGTGCCGCGTCCCTCTCCTCAGCAATTTTAGCTGCCCGAGCTGCCTTTTTGGCTGCCCGAGCAGCGTCTCTAGCTGCCAAAGCAGCCTCCTTCGCCTTGGCAGCAGCAAGAGAAGCCGCAGTGGGAGGAAGCATCCCCAAGATGGACGAAAGCTCCTTGAACCTTCCTGGGTCGGCCATGCGGTCAGCCTCGTCAAGAACGAGAAAGGAGAGATACTCCAGCTGCACGTGGGGAGAGGATGGGCGGAGGGAGATGGGGGAGGAGAATGAAGGGAGCATTAGGGGTAAGGGGTGCGCGGGGAAGGTGGACTTTGAGGCGTCTCAAACCCAGCCATGCGGTCAGCCTCGTCTAGAACGAGAAAGGAGAGATACTCCAGCTGCGGAAGGGAGGGGGAAGGGGAGAGGGAGATTTGGAGAGGAGGAGGAGAGGTAGAGTTTGGGGGGGAGGGGGGAGGAGAATCGAGGGAGCGTTACAGGGGTGAGGGGGGAAGAGGAGGACTTCTGAGGCGTCTCAAAGGCCAGCCATGCGGTCCGCCTCGTCGAGAACGAGAAAGGAGAGATACTCCAGCTGCAAGGAGGGGGGGGGAGGGCGGATGCGGGCAAGTGGAAGGGTTGGTAAGGGGTTGAGCAGGGTAAGGCGAGCGGTACAAGGTGACTTTTGAGTCGACTCAAAAGGGGTTGAGCGGGGTAAGGCGAGCGGTACAAGGTGACTTTTGAGTCGACTCAAAAGGGGTTGAGCGGGGTAAGGCGAGCGGTACAAGGTGACTTTTGAGTCGACTCAAAAGGGGTTGAGCGGGGTAAGGCGAGCGGTACAAGGTGACTTTTGAGTCGACTCAAATGGGGTTGAGCGGGGTAAGGCGAGCGGTACAAGGTGACTTTTGAGTCAACTCAAAAGGGGTTGAGCGGGGTAAGGGGAGCGGTACAAGGTGACTTTTGAGTCGACTCAAAAGGGGTTGAGCGGGGTAAGGCGAGCGGTACAAGGTGACTTTTGAGTCGACTCAAAAGGGGTTGAGCGGGGTAAGGGGAGCGGTACAAGGTGACTTTTGAGTCGACTCAAAAAAGGTTGAGCGGGGTAAGGGGAGCGGTACAAGGTGACTTTTGAGTCGACTCAAAAGGGGTTGAGCGGGGTAAGGCGAGCGGTACAAGGTGACTTTTGAGTCGACTCAAAAGGGGTTGAGTGGGGTAAGGCGAGCGGTACAAGGTGACTTTTGAGTCGACTCAAAAGGGGTTGAGTGGGGTAAGGCGAGCGGTACAAGGTGACTTTTGAGTCGACTCAAAAGGGGTTGAGCGGGGTAAGGCGAGCGGTACAAGGTGACTTTTGAGTCGACTCAAAAGGGGTTGAGCGAGGCGAGCGGTACAAGGTGACTTTTGAGTCGACTCAAAAGGGGTTGAGCGGGGTAAGGCGAGCGGTACAAGGTGACTTTTGAGTCGACTCAAAAGGGGTTGCGGGGTAAGGCGAGCGGTACAAGGTGACTTTTGAGTCGACTCAAAAGGGGTTGAGCGGGGTAAGGCGAGCGGTACAAGGTGACTTTTGAGTCGACTCAAAAGGGGTTGAGCGGGGTAAGCGGAGCGGTACAAGGTGACTTTTGAGTCGACTCAAAAAAGGTTGAGCGGGGTAAGGGGAGCGGTACAAGGTGACTTTTGAGTCGACTCAAAAGGGGTTGAGCGGGGTAAGGCGAGCGGTACAAGGTGACTTTTGAGTCGACTCAAAAGGGGTTGAGTGGGGTAAGGCGAGCGGTACAAGGTGACTTTTGAGTCGACTCAAAAGGGGTTGAGTGGGGTAAGGCGAGCGGTACAAGGTGACTTTTGAGTCGACTCAAAAGGGGTTGCGGGGTAAGGCGAGCGGTACAAGGTGACTTTTGAGTCGACTCAAAAGGGGTTGAGCGGGGTAAGGCGAGCGGTACAAGGTGACTTTTGAGTCGACTCAAAAGGGGTTGAGCGGGGTAAGGCGAGCGGTACAAGGTGACTTTTGAGTCGACTCAAAAGGGGTTGCGGGGTAAGGCGAGCGGTACAAGGTGACTTTTGAGTCGACTCAAAAGGGGTTGAGCGGGGTAAGGTGAGCGGTACAAGGTGACTTTTGAGTCGACTCAAAAGGGGTTGAGCGGGGTAAGGCGAGCGGTACAGAGGGAAGCAGCCATGCGGTCAGCCTCGTCGAGAACGAGAAAGGAGAGGTACTCCAGCTGCAAAAAGGAGGGGGGAGGGGAGGGGGTGAGGTGGGAAGGAGGAGACAGGGGGGTGAGTGAGAAAGGGTGTACTGGGAATGGCGAGTGGTAGAGAGGAGAACAATAATGCATAATAATAACCCCTCCTCAGCCTTGCAGACAGCGAGGAAGGAGAGGAGGAGAGGTACTCAAGCTGCAGGGGAGGAGTGATGGGGCAAAGTGATGGGGCATGTTAAGAACAAAGGGAAGGGGACCAGGTACGCAGGTGAGTGGGGAGCGGGGCTAGGGGGTCCTCCCTACCTTCGCCAGGTGCCCCTCCCTGCCTATAGAAACAAATAGATACACACATAGACACCCATAGACAGTCGCACCTGCACCAGGTGCGCCTCCCCTTGGCTCATGAGCTCCCACAGCCGCCCGGGCGTGCCGACCACAATCTGCGGCCCGAGGCTCAGCACCCGCCGCTGCTTCACCTCCGCCATGCCGCCCACAATGCCGGCCACGTGGATGCCCGTGTGGCGGGCCGCGTCTTTTATGTGCGATACGATCTGCAGCGCCAGCTCGCGCGTGGGCGTGATGATGAGTGCTCGCAGCGGCCCCCTCACTCTCTTCCGAGCCCCGCCGCCCGCCGCCTTTCCCCCCGTCTTCCCTTCCCCCTCCTCTTCCCCTTCTTTATCCCCCTCCCCTCCCCCCTCCCCTTCCCCGCTCTGCTCCTCCCCAACCCTCTCACTCCCCGCGCCCTCCCCCCCTCCCGCCTCCCCTTCTCCTCCCCCATCCCCTTCCCCCTCTTCCCCCCACGCCCCGCCCCCGTCCTGCAACCGCCTCTCCTTCTCCCGCTCATCCAGCAACCTCTGCAGAATCGGGATCGCGAACGCGAGGGTCTTACCCGACCCAGTTTCAGCCGCCCCCACAACGTCCCTGCCTCTGGATGCAGCAGCGGGGATGCATGCGCGCTGGATGGGCGTGGGGGAGGTGAACCCGAGGTCGCTGAGAGCGCGGAGAATGAGGGGATGCAGACGGAGGGGTTCCCATTCCGGCATGTCTAGATCCTCATCCCCTTCTCCTTCCACCCCCCCTGCTGCTCCGTCGATTTCCATGCTCAATGCTTTGCCTTCTGCAGTCTCCTCCCCATCACTCTCCGCATCTTCCTCTCCCTCCTCCCCTTCCTCCTCTTCTCCCTCCTCTCCCTCCTCTCCCTCCTCTCCCTCCTCTCTCTCCCCCCCCTCCTCTCGCTCCTCCCCCTCCTCCTCGTCTCCCTCTGCTTCTCCGTCCTCCTTACCCTTTGCTTGCTTCTCTCCTGCGCCCTTGTGCCTCTCACCCCGCTCCCCTCGCTTCAAAGCCGTTTTAAGCTGCTTCCGCTGCATCTTCCGCCTCTTGCTCTTGCTCATCTTCCCCTTCCCCTCTAAAACCCTGTCCCCAACCCCCGCGTCTCCCACACCATCTCCACTTTCTCCCCCGCCCGCCTCAACCTCCCCATCTCCAGGCTCTTCCCCCGCGTCTTCTTCCCCCAAATCTCCCCCGCCCTCCATTTCTCCGCCCTCCAAATCTCCACCCTCCAAATCCCCGCCCTCCAAATCCCCGCCCTCCAAATCTCCACCCTCCATTTCTCCGCCAGCCAGCTCCCCCCCGCCCTCCATCTCTCCGCCAGCCACCAATCCCTCAAACTCCGCCGGGTCGATCTCCTCCAGCCCCATGAAGCCTGGCGGGGGGGAGTTGGAGGGGGAAACAGGGGGGATGGGGGGAAACTGGGAGGATGGGGCAAGTTTCGCCCTACATCTCTGCGCCCTCCATCTCTCCGCCAGTCACCAATCCTTCAAACTCCGCCGGGTCGATCTCCTCCAGCCCCATGAAGCCTGGCGGGGCGGAGTTGGCGGAAAATTGGGGGAGTTGGGGGAAGATGGATGAAAATAGGGCGAGATGGAAGGTGGCGAAAATGGGAGGAGATGCTGAAAAATGGGAGGAGATGGTGGAACATGGGGAGAGATGGCGGCGGGAAGTGACGGATAGGAAAGAGAGGTGAAAAGAGGGTTCGGGAGGTTTACAGACGAAGAGGAGGCTGTCAGAGTGGGGCTGAGACTATGAAACGGTTGCAATCTTGAAAAGAAGAAGAAAACAAAAATCGGGAAGGAAGAGGGGAATCGAGAAGGTCAGTAAGGATTGACGATCGGGGTCAGGGAGAGGGTCACCGAGGGGGTGGCATTCTGGCGTACCTCCCGCGGCGGGGTTGCGCGGGTCCATGAGCATGTGCGTCCCTGCCACTGGCGTCACATCCTTCCATTTCACCATGCTAAAATTCAACCTGCCTCCGCGTATCGTATTCCCTCCGCCAATCACCTTCCCTCCGCCTCCTCCGAACGCTTTTCCTACTCCGCCTCGCCGCGGATGTCCACCCCTTTTGCCGCTCGCTGCTCCCTTATTCTTCCCCCGAAATCCATCTCCTTTGCCGCCCACGCTTCCTTCTTTCATCGCCCCTCGCGACGCAAGCTTTGCTGCGCCGCCTCGACTGCGTGCACCTCCGCGACCGCCTCTCATGGCAAACTGAATCTCGACTACACCGGTAAGGGAGTTCCTTGAAAGAAGTCGGAGTTTTTCTTTCCACCTCGCTTACGCCCTAATTCTTGTGGCCGGGTTTTTTAGGTGGTAGCGACAGTGGTGGTGCTGGTCCACTTCAAAACGCTCCGATACAGGAAGCTATTTTTGAGTTGTAAGAAAATACGAAGATTGTGACCAGCTTCAACATTGTACTCAGCCAGCTCAACGAAAGTTTCGCGTTACAATCTGGCCCCAGCTTTCTTCATATAGCTGCTTTATATTCTAAGTGTAGTCAGAAGTTGAACTGCATAACCGTGATCGAGCATATATTGCATTGACGAATAGGAACTCTTGATGGCGTGTCACGTGCAACGAAAACTGCCACATCGGAGGGACAAAGATCTCCGTGCTAGACGCTGGTGAGTCAGGCTCGTGCGGCGCGGCAATCTCGGTGGTTCCTGAGAGTTACGGAATCTCCTCAACACGGATGCACGAGCAAATCAGAGAAGCTTTCAGCGATTCTAGACAGGAATCACAGAACGAGCCGAATTTGGTTCAGATGCTCGCTCGACTCAACAGCCAGCAACTGTCAGTATGTTTGCTCATGGCCTTCCTCGTGGAACATGAAATACAATCACCAACATCACGAACCTCAGATCTCCTTGATTCTCAAACCCGCAACTTTCATTATACAACACTTCGTTGTTGAGGCTTGAGAACCATGGCCACTGTTGCTGTCGCTGCTGCGTCCGCTAGCGTTGCACTGAAACTTTCAGCGTCGCAAAATGGGGTCCTTTCCTCTCGAACTCCTGCTGTAGCCTCGTTCTCCAGACTCTCCACGACAAGTAAGATGAGATTCCCATTTTTTTAGTTTTTCAGACTCAAATTTTACGAGCAAAACTTACTCTGAGCCTCACCCCTCAACGACTGACCATTCGCAGGTGTTGCGGGGAGACGCAAGCTCGCGGTGAGGGCCACTTCACCTCAAGTGGAGGAGTTCAAGGAAAAGGCAACTGAACTCGTCGACGTTGCAAAATCCAAGGTCTCAAAATTGCGCAATTCTCTTCATTCTGTTCCGGATTCTCAGTCATTTGAACTGGACTGTTCACGAAAGTGATTTATTCAATGATGCAGTGGGAAACGGTTGAGAACAAGCCTCCGGTGGCTCTTTACGCTGGTGGAGCCGTTGTTGGTCTGTGGATAACATCTGCAGTCCTGGGTGCTATCGACAGCATCCCGCTGGTGAGAACTTTAAACCATGCAGTTGCCGTAGCCGTCATTCCCCATTGATCAAAACGTTATTTGCCGATTCTTTGGTGCATATCCTCTCATTCCACGTTGCAGGTTCCAGGCTTCCTAAAGCTCATTGGAACCGTCTACACTGGATGGTTCGCCTACCGCTATTTAATATTTGAGGTCAGTTGTTAGTCACTGTCAAGTGAAAGTGGTCTCGTCAGCACCTTTTTCGAGCTAACGACTCTAGACTTCTTGCTCTGCAGGCTTCCCGTAAAGAGCTTTCTGACAAGGTGGCGGATCTTATCTCCCAGATTAAGTAGTGCATAATAAGTTTCAATGCTTGGGAGACCAAGTCATAGGGTATACCCCCAGTGTGTCTCACACGCATATGTAAATCAAATTGTATAAACATTGTGCTAACGCATTTCCTGAACTTCATTGCCAGATTGGAAAGTACTACGGTATCCTTTATGATCTATTCCACAAAACCTCCACACATGAGCTAGACTCTAGGTACCATGGTAATGTACCTACTGTAAGATCTAGAGGAAATCATCTGAGCCTGGAAAATGTTGCATGTCGGGATGAACCCCTCCACCTGGAGGACCTCGAGGCCTTGGCCGGCCATCCCTGTATGAAAGGAGAAATGAGTTTCAGGGTGTGTGCCAAGAACCAAAAGGAAAGGCGGGTGGTTGAGAATCTGTGCATGCATATGCTTGTATGGAGGCCTATGAAATGTGTGTGTCAGTTGTCTCCATATAAACAAATCGTAAAATCATGCCAAACTCACTCGAAATCTACTCAAGCAGATAGTAACATGCTTACCCGAATCTGCCAGGCTCGAAGCCCGGGGTGCCTGGAGGACCAAACGGATCAAAACGAGCACCTGGTGGCATTCCCCTGAGAACACACAAAATATACGAATCAGAGTCCCGGCTGCAAAATTGATTCCAAGAAGAGAGACGCAGGAAAACCCAAAAATTTGTAGGGACATGCATGTCCGGGAAAGGTTTAGGAATTGAAGCTTACGGAGGCAAGGGTCCCAGACCTCCAACTCCTCCTGGGAACGTTGGGCCCCACCTTGGATCATGAGGCCCTGCAAATCACAGAGAGAGAATGGAAATGCGAGTCGCAGAAGTGGTATGTGAGCACCGACGCATGCACTGAGACCTTAGACTGTGACTCTGGCTTCATGACAGCATCCCTGCTGTGAGAGATAACACATACCTACAAGCATGCTTCCTCCACCGAAACCAGGTCTGCCACACACAAGAAAGGTATTCACATACGCAATCAGGGTGAGCACCACAACGAGGAAATCACACAAAGAAAAACAAAACGAGGACTGGCTTACAAATAGAATGCTTCCTACCTTGACGGCATAATCCCAGCTCCCCCTCCTGGATGCAAGTCATCATACAGTGGACCTGCAGGAATGGGAGGGTAAACAATCCCTTCCCCTCCCCCCAAACCACCAACCAGGCCACGCTGAGGTTCGTCAAAATATACCCCTCCTGCTCGCTCTCCCTCTCTCCCTGAACCCCTCGCCGATTCTTGTCCTGCTGTGTCTGTTAAAGTAGGCTGTGCTGCAGTAGCAGAGCCAGCACCAGCAGCAGCCGCACCAGCGCCAGCAGTCCCAGCAGGAGTGCTAGAGGTGGTGCTGGAAGTCAAGGGCTCGATGATGGCTGATGAGATGGATGATACCAGTGCCGAAAGAGTGGTAAAGATTTTACTGTAGTCGGTTGACGTCGGTGGGGTGTCTGCTGACGTATGCTCAGAGACCCTGGAGAGTGGAGGCAGTCAGAGAACGCAGTCAATAAAGTAATCCTTAATACATGCTAGAAGATGTCATTGAAAGAGAGTAATATTGAATGTAGGAAACTCACAAACCTGATTTCAAGATGAGATACAGGAGATGAAGCCCCTCCTGCTGCTGAACCTGCTCCACCCATCGCTGTTGCATCCACCATAAGAAGCTCCCCGTCTGCAACAGATAAGCACTGAACCGCCACTCTCTCTGTTGTACTAGTGTTCTCTGCACTTACTGCTTCTGTTGAAACTCCTGTGCTCTCGTGAGCATACGCGAAATTATAGACACCTGGAACTGTGTTCCAACCCTCGATTCCAGCATCCGCGTTTGAAGCTACATATTCCGACCCTGCCATAATCAAGAAACTCTGAAACCGTCAACCATTTTTTTTGTTTTCAAAGAATCTCAACGTGTTACAAAAACGTTCGTCCGGCGAAGCTCATCAGTCCCTTCTCGTCGTCTCACCTGCAGCAATCTCAGCGGCGTCAGGGCCGACAGCGAGGCACCGGTATCCAGACGCCAGGAACGTCGCATGGATAGCAAACGCAACGCTATCTTGTTTGGAAGTGAATTTCGGTCGATATGCTCTAAGCAGAGCTAAGACAGCCTCGGAAGTGGCCATCTGAGGCGAGATTTGGCTAGCTTAGCGATGATGAGATCGCGGAACCCAGGAAAACAACCACGAGGCTTAGGGTAAAGTACGAAGAACACGCAATAGTTGTAGTCAATCTCAGATGCGAGCACGACTACGTGATCACGAGGCGTCTAGGGTATCTACGCATCTGCAAGAGAAGGAACGGTCATGCAGAGGGGCCAGACGAATTAGGAATTCGAGAATGAAGGGAGGCAGTTGGAAATTTGGTTGAAGGGAGGGGCTCCATGTTGGAGGGTTTCGTGACTGTATCTCGCAGCTCCATGTATCCAGTTCGCTTACCTCGCTCGCCAATCACAACCCTTGGTCGACCAAGGTCTGACGGGAACGTCAGTGCCCACCGCTAGTGTAAATAATTTGTGGAATACTCAAACTGTCTATGAAACAAACTGTAGTCTATTCAATTTATTGGGACGCTGAGATTGAAGTGCTCAGAAACTGTGTGGACGTGCGCATCGTGATTCGTTTCCATACCAACAACGCTGCTTTGCCATCCGCTAGAGTCATCAACAAGAACTTTTCGAACTGAGAGCTAAGGCTCGGCATTGACTGATTCCCAACCACCGAGCCCCCAAGCCTGTCTCTCCATTGCTCCGCGCCCGCCTCCCGCTGTCCTGGAGTCCTGAACAACCGTTGTTACTGGGGCAAAGGCGGGGAGTACAGTACAATACAGTACAACTTCCCCGCGTACACTACACACCCAGGGGGTTCCCCCTTCACAGGGACACTTTCCGCCAATCCCTGCCACCTTCCACCAGCTTCTAGGGACCATCCGCCAGCCTTCCTCCGCCAAAACTCCATCACCCCATTCCCCATCTCCACGGTTGCCCCCGTTCCCCACCTCCCTCGCCGCCCATGCTTCCCGCCCCCCTTCATTATTCCCCCCCATACCCCCCCCGCAATCATCCCGCCAGCCCAGTTCGCTTTCTCCCCTCCCTCGGCCCATTTTCAGTCATGGCGGTTGGTCCTACCCTTCCACACCCACTACTCGTATTATTCTCTGCTCACCTCGCCTCGCCTCGCCTCGCCTCGCCAACCCCGCAGTTAGAACTTAGGAGACCGCCTTACATCACCGTAATAGTACTCTGAACCTTGGTTGGTTCTCTAATAGTACCCCGCATTGCGTAACCATCCGCTCGTCCTCCCTCACTTTCACGTCTCACACGTCTTGATCACCAAATGCGCGTTATTTAGTTCGCCTTGCTCGAGACGAAGTTTCTTCGCTTGCGCAACTTTTCTCATTATTACTATTATTATATCACCTGTAAGGCGCATCTAGCTGCCAGTGTTCAGCAGAGACCG